TGTCTCTGCTTATCTGTCTTTCTGTCTCTGCTTATCTGTCTCTCTGCTTGTCTCTTTCTGTCTCAGAGCCACTGCATTACATCTGAGCGAGTCCTGATACATATTTACCAATCATGCTTACAAGCATGATGTAAGACATGTGTCACTAGTCTTATCTTATCACTCCACTAATGACAGTGGTGACATTTGATTAGGGTACACTGCCTTCACTTTATTTGTTTTCACTTTACACAAGTACGTCTGTCTGTCTGTCTGCGTCTGTCTAGCTCTGTCTGTGTGTCTTTTTCTGTCTGCCTGTGCATCTCAATATTTCTGTCTGCTTGTCTCAGAGTTGCTTATGAACCAACTGGTATTACACACGATCACTATCTAGAAGCACAGTATAGCACTGTCTGGATTTTTTGGGGTTATCCTAAGTAATTTACACTATGTATAATTGTATTTATATGTACCTGTGAGACAAAGATAGCCAGCTGGCCAGCCAGCCTGCCAGCCTGCCAGCCAGCCAGCCCGCCAGCCAGCCCACCAGCCAGCCCGCCCGCCAGCCAGCCCGACAGCCAGCCCGCCAGCCAGCCAGCCAGCCAGCCAGCTGGACAGCCAGCCAGCCAGTCACTCATGTTGTTTACACAAACCCATGCTCCCTTCCCTACCACCCACACTGCCGAAGAGTTAGGTATTCCTTACTGCTTGGCTTGGTGACAAAGGCGCATTGTATTACCACTCCCATAAACAATGCAATACAGGTGGTTAGATTTTTTCTTACTGCGCACACGTACCATGTACACCCATTCTATCACAGGTAGGCCTACCAGCCTTTTCCCGATTGATTTGAGGGCACTAGAATTTACACGTCTCTCCCAGAGGCACAGCCAGACTGGCTGGGGTGGTGGCGGGTGGGTTGACATGTCTCAGTATCCCATACAGCTGATAAGTGAAATAATAGTCTGAAAAACCGGCCTATAACCAAGTTGACCGATAACAGCAATGGCCAATAACCGGGGGTCAACTGTATTCCAATTTCAAAATAGGGTCTAGAATAAACAATGCAGGTATTCCTGGCACTAAAATAACATTTCTTCTGTTCACTAGTTATGTTCTCAGGCATTACATATGAATTCCATTTGAGAGAGAGAGTGAGAGCATGTGTATGTGTGAGCGTGTGTGAGCGCGTGTGTGAGCGTGTGTGAGCGTGTGTGTGCACTCACCTATTTGTACTCACCATTTGTGGTTGCAGGGGTCGAGTCTTAGCTCCTGGCCCCGCCTCTTCACCGGTTGCTACTGGGCCCTCTCTCTCCCCACTCCATGAGCTTTATCAAACCTCATCTTAAAACTGTGTATGGTTCCTGCCTCCACTACGTCATTTTCTAGGCTATTCCACTGCCTTACAACTCTATGACTGAAGAAATACTTCTTAATATCTCTCTGACTCATTTGTGTCTTCAACTTCCAATTGTGGCCTCTTGTTTGTGTGTCCCCTCCCTGGAACATCCTGTCTTTGTCCACCTTGTGTATTCCACGCAGTATTTTATATGTCGTTATCATGTCTCCCCTGACCCTCCTGTCCTCCAGTGTCGTCAGGCCGATTTCCCTTAATCTTTCTTTATAGGACATTCCCCTTAGCTCTGGAACTAACCTTGTCGCAAACCTTTGTACTTTCTCTAGTTTCTTGACGTGCTTTATCAAGTGCGGGTTCCAAACAGGTGCTGCATACTCCAGTATGGGCCTGACATACACGGTGTACAGTGTCTTGAACGATTCCTTACTAAGGTATCGGAATGCTGTTCTCAGGTTTGCCAGACGCCCATATGCTGCAGCAGTTATCTGATTGATGTGTGCTTCCGGAGACATGCTCGGTGTTATACTCACCCCAAGATCTTTCTCCTTGAGTGAGGTTTGCAGTCTTTGGCCACCTAGCCTATACTCTGTCTGTGGTCTTCTGTGCCCTTCCCCTATCTTCATGACTTTGCATTTGGCAGGATTAAATTCGAGAAGCCATTTGCTGGACCAGGTGTCCAGTCTGTCCAGGTCTCTTTAAAGTCATGCCTGGTCCTCATCAGATTTAATTCTCCTCATTAACTTCACATCATCTGCAAACAGGGACACTTCTGAGTCTAACCCTTCCATCATGTCGCTCACATATACCAAAAATAGCACTGGTCCTAGGACCGACCCCTGTGGGACCCCGCTCGTCACAGGTGCCCACTGTGATACATCATTACGTACCATGACTCATTGTTGCCTCCCTGTCAGGTATTCTCTGATCCATTGCAGTGCCCTTCCTGTTATATGCGCCTGATGCTCTAGCTTCTGCACTAATCTCTTGTGAGGAACTGTGTCAAAGGCCTTCTTGCAGTCCAAGAAGATGCAATCAACCCACCCCTCTCTCTTGTGTCTTACTTCTGTTATTTTATCATAAAACTCCAGAAGGTTTGTGACACAGGATTTGCCTCCATGAATCCGTGCTGGTTGGCATTTATACTCTTGTTCCGTTCCAGGTGCTCCACCACTCTCCTCCTGATAATCTTCTCCATAATTTTGCATACTATACACGTCAATGACAAAGGTCTATAGTTTAGTGCCTCTTTTCTGTCTCCTTTTTTAAAAATGGGAACTACATTTGCCGTCTTCCATACCTCAGGTAGTTGCCCAGTTTCCAGGGACGTGTTGAAGATTGTGGTAAGTGGCACGCACAACATATCTGCTCCCTCTCTAAGGACCCACGGGGAGATGTTGTCTGGTCCCATTGCCTTTGAGGTATCGATGTCCCTTAGCAGTTTCTTCACCTCCTCATCTGTATGTATGTCGTCCAACACTTGGTGTATTCCTTGCTGGTGTCCCCATCTGGTCTGTCCCCCCAGAGTCCTTCCTGTCTCTACTGTAAATACTTCCTTAAATCTCGTGTTGAGCTCCTCACATACCTCTTGATCGTTTCTTGTGAGTTCTCCACCTTCTTTCCTCAGCCTTATCACCTGGTCCTTGACTGTTGTCTTCCTCCTAATGTGGCTATACAGCAGTTTCGGGTCAGACTTGACTTTCGATGCTATGTCGTTTTCATACTGTCGCTGGGCCTCCCTCCTTATCGTGTGTGTGAGAGCACGTGTGTGTGAGCGCGTGTGTGTGAGCGCGTGTGAGCGCATGTGTGTGAGCGCATGTGTGTGAGCGCATGTGTGTGAGCGCATGTGTGTGAGCGTGTGTGAGTGTGAGCGTGCGTGTGTGTGTGTGTGTGTGTGAGCGTGTGTGTGTGTGTGAGCGTGTGTGTGTGTGAGCGTGTGTGTGTGAGCGTGTGTGTGAGCGTGTGTGTGAGCGTGTGTGTGAGAGCGCGCGTGAGCGCGTGCGTGAGCGCGTGGCGTGCGTGTGTGTGTGTGTGTGTGTGTGTGTGTGTGTGTGTGTGTGTGTGTGTGTGTGTGTGTGTGTGTGTGTGTGTGTGTGTGTGTGTGTGTGTGTGTGTGTGTGTGTGTGTGTGTAATTAGTTCACTGTTATTCAACATTGTAATAACTGTATAAATAATATCAGCACACTTGTGATTGCATATTATACCCACCAAATGGTCGTGTATTGGATGAGTGACACGATTTGTTTACTCTTGAATATCGGCAAAAATCGAACATTTTGCTACTTTAAGCTCAATTTTAAGCTATTTTCAGTCCTGGAACCCATCAAAATCATCTCCATTTCAGTAATATATCTTCCAGTCTATCAAATGAAACCAAGAAACCGAGAATACAACCATAAAAAACCACACAAAAATACACCACAAAGTTGCTGTTTTAAACAAATAACACTTGCAGTTTTTCCTCATTATGCACTGCATGCTGCAGGATTTTTTATGTGGTGCACACTTACCACATAGACCTATTCTCTCATATCTAGGCCCAAATTTACCGCTCTCAGCTTATCTGTGTGATCTGTGTGAGCCCAGTTGATGATGTAGTACTACGGCACCAAGTGACCTCAAACCTGTAGTACCATGGCACGGACAATGAAATGGGTTAATAACCTTAAGATTTGCAACTAAATCCTTTGTCTGAAATCATACAAACAAGTTAGCAACCATACATCAAAAACAACACCCCTGATAATTTAAATGCAACTTCTCACACTGCTGCATCATTTTATCACTGGCAACAATTTACATCATCACATGGCCAGCATTGCTAAAAATCAGCATGCAACTTAACCCTTAAATGGTCCAAACGTATATATACGTTTTTTCAACATCTGAAAGCATGTTAAAAAATGCAGATCTTTTTTGTTTTACATTTGAAAACGTGTAAAAAAACTTTTATCTACATTTTTTTTGTTATACAGTATTTGAAAATATGCAAAAAAAAAGTAGATCTACTGTGGGAGCACTATGAATTTGAACGTCGATCTGTTTGGACCGTTTAAGGGTTAATACTGCATTAAGGAAAGTGAAGAGCAAAGAGGAGAAACAGAGATACATTCCAGACAACATTAAAATTAACCTTACAAGTCTTAAATTCCACAGCAAACTTACACTGCTGTCAAGCTTCTCCTTCCCTGCCTCACAATTTAGAGGTCTCTGTGCCTAATCATCGGAGAATCCAGGAAAGCTATTCTCAAAAACATGAGCAGGACATGTCCAGCATGGGTCAGTAGCACCTACCTGACATACACCAGTAACACCTATCAAGGGCTAGTAGCATCTGCATAGCATGGGCCAGTAACGCCTACCTAGCAAGGGCTAGTAGCACCTGCCTAGAATGGGCCAGTAAGCACAGCACTAGCCATTAGGCTTACATGGCCCAGTGGAACTACTGCAAGGCTCCTTCACTGAAAATTTATAAAGAATAAAATCACAATACCATAGCTGGAACAATCCACCAAAAACCTACACTTAAGAAAGGAACCTTAAAATAACATTTCAGTCATTTACGTACAATTGTCAGGCAACTTGACAGTGGTCCAGGATGGATCAAAACATCCTGATAAGGGTCCTCCACCTAAGTGTGGGTTTCAGTGAATACTTGCATCTTACCTGAGCACGATTCTGATCCAGACGGGTCATGGCCGAGAAGTTCTCGCGTGGGATGGAAGGAGCATACTTGGCACAAATTAGAGCATTGGTATTGGCAGGGTTGCCCACCACCAGCACCTTCACTGACTTCTTAGCGTACTGCTCTAACGCTGCCCCCTGCAAACATTATGCACTACAAGTGACCTCAAAATCTTATTTGTGGTTTCTACCAGTGACATTCATTATGTGGTAAGTTAACTTCAACCCATCATTATGTACTACAAGTCATATTTCATGCCATTTCAATCAAAATTTTGAAATTATTTCATGGCACCACTTCAAATTTTCCTCAGAATTTGCACACTTATAGATTTCAGTGAGTAAATGAGACTGGTTTGTGTTCCAAGTCTGTAGCTCAAACAGTTCTGGAGATACAGGTCACGAAACTGACCAAAAGATGATTTTTCACAGATCATGTGAAATTTTGAAATGAAATATCTCTGCTTGTGGGACACGACAAGCTGGAAGTGTTAGGAGAGTAATATTTTGTGAAGGGATTCAGGGAAACTAGTTAGCCAGACTTGAGTCCTGGCAGTAGGAAGTACAATGCCTGCACTTCAAAAGAGAGGTTGGAGATACAGTGGTACCTTGACTTACAAGCGCCCCAACTTACGAGTTTTCAGAGTTACGAGAAGTCACTCGGTCAATGTTTTGCTTTGAGTTGCGAGCCAAAATCCGAGTTATGAGCGAGTTTCAAATATGCTGCCATTAGTTGGCACAGCGAATGCCACATTATCCGCCCATCATCCCAGCATTTTGTGCTTTTTGTGCAGTTATTTTGCCAAATTTCTTTTTTTCTAACCATAAGTCCTAAGAAAGTAAGCGCAAAGGACAGTGCTGAGACAAGGATGATGATGTCCATTGAATTAAAGTAACAAAAAAGGCACAATACCGTGACTGGAACGATACACAAATAACCCGCAAATAAAAGAGAAGCTTACGACGACGTTTCAGTCCGACTTGGGCCATTGACAAAGTGTGACTTTGTTAATGGTCCAAGTCGGACCGAAACGTCGTCGTAAGCTTCTCTTTTATTTGCGGGTTATTTGTGTATTGAATTAAAGCATAGAAAAACACGAGAAAATCACTTTTGCTTCAGTGTTTTCCTTACGAAACAAGTGATCTAGTGCAGTTAGCCTCACAAGCACTCCATTTTCTCTTATAATAATGCCTAAGAAGGGCAAGAATGGGAAGACATGGTCAGAGCAATAATTACTTTTACCTCGGGAGTGGACACCACCACTCGTCACATAATGACATATTTCATTCATTCTAGAGTATATACACCCACCATCCGACTTACGACCAAGCTCGGTTCCGAGAAACCAGTCGTAAGTCGAAATGGTTGTAAGTCGAACTTTACTACTGAATATCAACAAAACATTTTTGTAATGACTATTTTATTGTTTTATTTTGGTATTTCATGTTTCACTTTACTTTTTATGTTGTTAGTACTGTATTTTATACTGTAAGGTTTAGGATAAACACTGTGTACAACCCAAATAGTTATTTCCCAGAAATTTGGCAAAAACAACACAGTCGTAAGTCGAGTGGTCGTAAGTCGGATGGCAGGTGTACCACGTTTCTATGTTATTTATATTGTTTAATATGTCATATTAGATCAATTGTGATAGATAAATAAGCCATAGAGCTGATATTAGTGTTATACTGAAGTATTTTCTCCTGCCTCCCAAGAGTCAGGAATTCCGCTGGAACTGATTAATGGCATTTCAATTTATTTCAATGAGGAAAACCGATTTGATATACGAGCAAATCGAGTTACGAGTTTGGTCACAGAATGAATTAAACTCCTAAGTTAAGGTACCACTGTATTGGTTGTTCAGAGTGACATCTAAACTGTCATATCTGAGCACCTCTGCAAAGACAGTGATTATGTGTGAATGATGGAGAAAGTGTTTCTTTTTTTTGGAGTCACCCTGCCTCGGTGGGAGATGGCCGACATGTTAGAAAACACACACACACACACACACACACACACACACACAGCACATCTCCTGAGGCACACAAGAAACCAATAACTGCTGCAGCATACTGGCACCTATATTGGAGTATGCAGCACCAGTTTGAAACCCACACCTAGCCAAACACGTATGGAAATTAGATAAAGTCTAAAGGTTTGCAACAAAACTAGTCCCAGAGCTAAAGGGCATGTCCTACAAGGAGAGGTTACGGGAAATCAACCTGATAACACTGGAGGAGAGGAGAGATAGGGGGATATGATAATGACATGGATATCTTGCTACTCCTACTTACACTTTGGTCACACTTCACAGACACGCACATGCATATATATATATATATACATACATCTAGGTTTTTCTCCTTTTTCTAAATAGCTCTTGTTCTTTTTTATTTCTTCTATTGTCCATGGGGAAGTGGAAAAGAATCTTTCCTCCGTAAGTCATGCGTGTCGTATGAGGCGACTAAAATGCCGGGAGCAATGGGCTAGTAACCCCTTCTCCTGTATACATTTACTAAAAAAGAGAAGAAAAACTTTTATAAAACTGGGATGCTTAAATGTGCGTGGATGTAGTGTGGATGACAAGAAACAGATGATTGCTGATGTTATGAATGAAAAGAAGTTGGATGTCCTGGCCCTAAGCGAAACAAAGCTGAAGGGGGTAGGAGAGTTTCAGTGGGGGGAAATAAATGGGATTAAATCTGGAGTATCTGAGAGAGTTAGAGCAAAGGAAGGGGTAGCAGTAATGTTAAATGATCAGTTATGGAAGGAGAAAAGAGAATATGAATGTGTAAATTCAAGAATTATATGGATAAAAGTAAAGGTTGGATGCGAGAAGTGGGTCATAATAAGCGTGTATGCACCTGGAGAAGAGAGGAATGCAGAGGAGAGAGAGAGATTTTGGGAGATGTTAAGTGAAAGTATAGGAGCCTTTGAACCAAGTGAGAGAGTAATTGTGGTAGGGGACCTGAATGCTAAAGTAGGAGAAACTTTTAGAGAGGGTGTGGTAGGTAAGTTTGGGGTGCCAGGTGTAAATGATAATGGGAGCCCTTTGATTGAACTTTGTATAGAAAGGGGTTTAGTTATAGGTAATACATATTTTAAGAAAAAGAGGATAAATAAGTATACAAGATATGATGTAGGGCGAAATGACAGTAGTTTGTTGGATTATGTATTGGTAGATAAAAGACTGCTGAGTAGACTTCAGGATGTACATGTTTATAGAGGGGCCACAGATATATCAGATCACTTTCTAGTTGTAGCTACACTGAGAGTAAAAGGTAGATGGGATACAAGGAGAATAGAAGCATCAGGGAAGAGAGAGGTGAAGGTTTATAAACTAAAAGAGGAGGCAGTTAGGGTAAGATATAAACAGCTATTGGAGGATAGATGGGCTAATGAGAGCATAGGCAATGGGGTCGAAGAGGTATGGGGTAGGATTAAAAATGTAGTGTTAGAGTGTTCAGCAGAAGTTTGTGGTTACAGGAAAGTGGGTGCAGGAGGGAAAAGGAGCGATTGGTGGAATGATGATGTAAAGAGAGTAGTAAGGGAGAAAAAGTTAGCATATGAGAAGTTTTTACAAAGTAGAAGTGATGCAAGGAGGGAAAGAGTATATGGAGAAAAAGAGAGAGGTTAAGAGAGTGGTGAAGCAATGTAAAAAGAGAGCAAATGAGAGAGTGGGTGAGATGTTATCAACAAATTTTGTTGAAAATAAGAAAAAGTTTTGGAGTGAGATTAACAAGTTAAGAAAGCCTAGAGAACAAATGGATTTGTCAGTTAAAAATAGGAGAGGAGAGTTATTAAATGGAGAGTTAGAGGTATTGGGAAGATGGAGGGAATATTTTGAGGAATTGTTAAATGTTGATGAAGATAGGGAAGCTGTGATTTCGTGTATAGGGCAAGGAGGAATAACATCTTGTAGGAGTGAGGAAGAGCCAGTTTTGAGTGTGGGGGAAGTTCCTGAGGCAAGTAGGTAAAATGAAAGGGGGTAAGGCAGCGGGATTGATGGGATAAAGATAGAAATGTTAAAAGCAGGTGGGGATATAGTTTTGGAGTGGTTGGTGCAATTATTTAATAAATGTATGGAAGAGGGTAAGGTACCTAGGATTGGCAGAGAGCATGCATAGTTCCTTTGTATAAAGGCAAAGGGGATAAAAGAGAGTGCAAAAATTATAGGGGGATAAGTCTGTTGAGTGTACCTGGTAAAGTGTATGGTAGAGTTATAATTGAAAGAATTAAGAGTAAGACGGAGAATAGGATAGCAGGTGAACAAGGAGGCTTTAGGAAAGGTAGGGGGTGTGTGGACCAGGTGTTTACAGTGAAACATATAAGTGAACAGTATTTAGATAAGGCTAAAGAGGTCTTTGTGGCATTTATGGATTTGGAAAAGGCGTATGACAGGGTGGATAGGGGGGCAATGTGGCAGATGTTGCAAGTGTATGGTGTAGGAGGTAGGTTACTGAAAGCAGTGAAGAGTTTTTATGAGGATAGTGAGGCTCAAGTTAGAGTATGTAGGAAAGAGGGAAATTTTTTCCCAGTAAAAGTAGGCCTTAGACAAGGATGTGTGATGTCACCGTGGTTGTTTAATATATTTATAGATGGGGTTGTAAGAGAAGTAAATGCGAGGGTCTTGGCAAGAGGCGTGGAGTTAAAAGATAAAGAATCACACACAAAGTGGGAGTTGTCACAGCTGCTCTTTGCTGATGACACTGTGCTCTTGGAGATTCTGAAGAGAAGTTGCAGAGATTGGTGGATGAATTTGGTAGGGTGTGCAAAAGAAGAAAATTAAAGGTGAATACAGGAAAGAGTAAGGTTATGAGGATAACAAAAAGATTAGGTGATGAAAGATTGAATATCAGATTGGAGGGAGAGTATGGAGGAGGTGAACGTATTCAGATATTTGGGAGTGGACGTGTCAGCGGATGGGTCTATGAAAGATGAGGTGAATCATAGAATTGATGAGGGAAAAGAGTGAGTGGTGCACTTAGGAGTCTGTGGAGACGAAGAACTTTGTCCTTGGAGGCAAAGAGGGGAATGTATGAGAGTATAGTTTTACCAACGCTCTTATATGGGTGTGAAGCGTGGGTGATGAATGTTGCAGCGAGGAGAAGGCTGGAGGCAGTGGAGATGTCATGTCTGAGGGCAATGTGTGGTGTGAATATAATGCAGAGAATTCGTAGTTTGGAAGTTAGGAGGAGGTGCGGATTACCAAACTGTTGTCCAGAGGGCTGAGGAAGGGTTGTTGAGGTGGTTCGGACTGTAGAGAAAATGGGCAAAAACAGAAGATTTTCAAGAGTGATCAGTCTGTAGTGGAAGGAAGGGCGGGTAGGGTCGGCAGGAAAGGTTGGAGGGGGGGGGAAAGGGAGGTTTTGTGGCGAGGGGCTTGGATTTCCCCAGCAGGCATGCATGAGGGTTTGAGGAGTGAAGGGAGACAAATGGTTTTTAAATTGACGTGCTGTTGGAGTGTGAGCAAGTAACATTTATGAAGGGTTCGGGAAACCGGCGGGCCCGGGATTTGAGTGGAGAGGGGCACTGGTTTAAGGGGGGTTTAATTTGAGTTAAAACTTTGAAAGCCCCTTTGGAAGAAGTGAGGGTTTGGGAAATTTTCTTTTTGGGAAACCCGCCTTGGGGAATATTAAAAAATAAAAAAAAAAAAATACTGAGGGGAATAAAAAGGGGAAAAGACATGCCAAGGGGGAAAAGCCGGGGGTCACATTTTGGAAGTAAAATTCAGAAAAATCAAGGGAGTTGGAAGTTTTTTAGTAAGGTTTTTCCAAAGTAACTTTGGGAAGTGGTAGGGGAAAGGGGGACCCAAATTTAAAAAAATTTTAAAAAAAACAAAAAATTTTTAAAAAAAATGGGGGAGGGTGGAACCCCCTGAACCCCCAAAACCCGGTGGGTAAAAATAACACTAGCCTTTAATGTCTGTTATTATTAATCACTTTGATGTCAGTATTTTAAAAAATAAAAAAAATGTTTCGGTCAGTATAAGAATTACTGTAGTAGGGGTGTTTTTTTTCGAACTAGTATAGAACTGAATTGTTTGACCAGTTGTGTAAAATATGCAAGTTCAGTGCACAGTTGATCTTTATATAAATAGCCAGGTTTCTTATGGAATTTTCTCAAAAACCCCAAATTTTCCCTTTTCCCAAAGATAAATATACTTTAGCTTTAGGGAAACACTATTGGGCAATTTGCTTACCCCCCAAGAAGGTCAAGAAAAAAAATCTAAAGTAATTCACCCAAAATCTAAGAATTTTATAGAAAACCCAATTTCATTTGACCATACACTAAAAATGGTGGGTTTAGGAAATGTTAGCAAAATATACACCCTAGAGTCCACCCTTTTACAGCCCTTCAAAGATGAATCCAAGCTGACCCCAAAAGGATCCCTGAAAGGGTTTGCACTGCAGTGATATGACGTGGGATCTTTCCTGATCCTACAGGTGAAGCCCGGTGATGAAAACTTACAGGGTCCCCACAGACCCCCCCACCATTTTTTGTATCCCAGAAAACCCGTGACCTTCTTATTGATGTCAGTGATTTTAAGCTGTATCCCCTAACCATCACTGGGAGGACATACACTTTTAGGAATCTGAAATGTTGAAGGGTTCAACTATTCTTAAAAAAAAGCTCAACTATGTTGTTCCTAAATTTTGTAAAATTATGTAGGCAATGTTGGGCTTCACAAATTACAAGCTATTTTAAACCCTTTTGGGGCCCTCCCCTAGATCTGGGTGGCGGTGAGTGTCCAAACTAGATCTATGCCAAAATTCTAGCGCCGTCAAATTTTTCGCGAAAGCGCTCATAGGCCTACATATGAGAAAATGGGGGCTGGCGGTGGGTGTGCGCCATAAAAAAAAAAACTAGGCGCCTGCATAGCTTGTCGGAACGCCGGGGTCAGTCACCCTTGTTCCATGTCCGTCGCAAAGGGCAGCCTTTATCCCCCGGAAAAATTGGGCTCTCCTCTTCCTGTCTGATAGTTCTGACATGTGGAATGGAAATGAGACGAATTCTCGGCTTTGATGAGTTTGTGACCCAAATAAGACCAAAAATCGATAATGTGCAGAAAACCCCCACGATCCTCGACCCTTCTACCTCTGGGGTGGGCATCGTACTCCGGGGTTGTTCCAAACGTAAAGAAAAACTAAAAATTTTCCCGTGGCCCGGCCTCTGACTTCAGAAAAGACGAGATTCTGAGGGGATTGTGATTTTATTGCGCTCGACGATCATTGGTGGATAGTGAGGAAAACATATTTCCCGGAAGCGTCGGGAGTGCGCCGCCGCTGCGCTCGGGTAGTTACCCTATGATGCCCAGGGGAAAGGAGTACATCCCGATAACCCAAATCCCTGG